TTCGGAAAGCACATAGGCCCTAACAATCACTCCTGCCAACTCCTTGCTCCAGTATAGTCGTTGAGCACCAAACTAAACAGTGCGCACACGCAAATCGGTGCCGCCGTTGCTGTCCACGAAACGGATAGAAAACTAAACAAACATATAGACAGCCCCCCGCTGTCACATCCCGAAACATACCCCTTACATTTCCAGAGTTCATGCAAGAACACTCCGCGAATATCAAAATGCCAACTAACAAACATGGAGACAGCCCCCCTGCAAAGGTAGCTGTTCATATGGGGAAACAAAAACAAATCGATTGCTGTTCATGCCCTCTAGAATCATGGTCACACATGACATCCCCCCCCCCATGATTCTGGATGTACATAAAAACAGCAACAAAGAAGAAAAAACCAGTGCAAAAGTAAAACGCGCTGCCAGAAAGAAAGGCAAAAAAAACTAAACTAAACACGAAACCCACATTGTTAGATCAGACTCGATGTCGTCGCGCGATGCAAGGCGCGTCACGAGCCCAAACGGAGTGCCCCGCTCGGAGGGGCGACCCCCAGCAGGTTGTTCTTGATCTCCCACATGCACCCCTCCCAAACATCCTGTTCTCCACCGCCCTCCATCTCGTCGCCCCCCAGCTGGCCTTCCCCCAGCTCACCGGTCCGTATCATCCCAGGCCAAATCATCGGCTTGCCGTTCAATACGCGCCGTCGGAGATGGATGTGGTCCATCGGCCTCGGAGGTCGGCACCGATTTGCGTGTCGGCAACGGCGCGGCGGTAGTAACAGCGGCGGGCAGCGGAGCGGCGGTAGTCCTCGTCGCAGTCATCCGCGGGTCCGGCAGCGCGGCGACATCCGGCGAGGATGCAGGCGGCACGGGTGCCCCGGGACTTGGCGGCAGCGGCGGTGGTGCGGCGGATCGGCTGCTTTGAAGAGCTTGTCGAAGCCATCTTGAAACGCCACGAAGTTTTGCAGGTCGACGGGGGGGGGTACCCCCCCCTGCTCGGTCAAAAACGCCGCCAGCAGCGACACCGTCTGATGACGGACCTCGTCCCACCTACGATACAAGACGAACATGCAGCACGTGCGAGTACGGTAAACGTGGGCAGTTCGTTCCACGCTATGAGCCACAGAGCAAGCGCTCTCTCTTTCTCTCTCTCTCTCTCTTCTCTATTCCTGTTGTACGCATACCGGAGGTGAGGTAAAAGAATTCCGTCGTCAGGCGTTGTCCAAACAACGGTTGACAAATGATGGGATGAGTCAAGCAAACAGATGGTATTGTGATGATAGTCCACACGTACGTCCTAAAACCAGCCAAAAAACTCGGCGGCCCGAACAACACACCCCGCCGGCCGCGACTTCGCAAAAAACAACACAACTGCGGGCATGCGCCACGCCCAGCACATGACCGGCTTCTTCTTTGTCTACTGGGAGGTACTGGTAAACCACGGTCCCGAACCCCCCCAACTCAAAAAGAGGAAATGCCGACAAGGACAGCTGAAACAAATTGAACAACAAACAGCCAACACCGGAAGGAAAAACTAATGTTCGTATGTCATGTCGCATGTCGCCCCCAAGCGACTGTACTAGGAACAGGAGACGGCTCTCTGCCTTCGCTGAACCCCCTGCACAACACACACAACACCAGTCTACCGACAAGGTCAAGGTACTGACGAGTACCCCCCTCCCTCCTGGCAAGCTGTCTTCATCGATCGTACGCGAAAGCTCCGACACTCACCGGTCGTCAAGGAGATCAACCAACGCCTGCATACCCGTTGGAACGCCCACGATCTGGGAGCACACCTTCGCGCGCTCTGCCACTAGCAGCGCTTCCAAACACGCCTGTCGCCAGCACGCACGCACGCACGCACGCATACACACACACAGACGTAGGAGTTGTGAGAAGCGGACCGATCATCGACCAGTCACACCGATCATCACATCGACGAGGGAACTACGATACCTCCGACACGATACATAAAAAATTCTCAAAGAGGTAAGCCTGGCAACGAACGACCCCCCCCCCCCTCCCCACTGCGTTGGCCTGGTACATATGACAGGGCTGATGCGATCACACTACGGGGCCCCTGTGGCACTCTTCCGTTTCAAGAGGCGTGTGTGTTTGCGTGCCGTCCCAGACGACTTAGGCTAGCGTCCTCGCCTTCAATCCTCCAACCAAACACAACACAACGCATCCCTCTCTCTCTCTCTGCCCTTCCTCACCAAGCCTTCTATACGGATGAGCTCGAACTTAGGGTCCAGCAGGGGTATCAACGCTTGCGCCGCCCCAGCGTTCACCATTTCCGCCGCAAACGCTTCTCCCTGCCACGCCCGCGGACAGAACCGCACCGCCAACGTGTTCCACGTCATGGAGTTGGGGTTAATTGAGTTTTAGATCAGGGTGTTCGGGGTACCGTACCGTTGGAGATGAGTGAGAAACGCTGCAAGTCGCATGATGCAGGATAACACCCTCCCTTGGTTCTGGCCGATGTCTTTACAGCAGGAAAGGTGTATGCGTGTCGAAAAAGGCCGGAACTTGGAAAGCCCTTCCTTGTTAAGCGTTGCGAAGACGCATCGTGTGGTACTAGAAACCCGCACGCATACGTTGTGGTGGAGGTATCGAGCTTGGAGAATCAGCTTATCCTCGGGGGTTGACTTCTCTGCAACCCGCCGTACGACTAAGGTACGTCAGAAGGGGGTGCACGGCAGTGCATCAGAGAAGGGTCACGTGCGACTACTGCACTGTTGAATCGACCTACTCCCTTTGTTATAGGTGGTAAAGGAAAGACAGGCCAGGTCTAATACAACTGCATCCGGGCAAGGTCTTTGCAAAGTCGAGAGTGAGAATGCCGTTGTCCGCAGGTGCTAGGGCTGAAGACACTGCCCTCCAGCGTCCTAAAAAACAAATTGCCAGGCGAGCCACGCTCAGTCCAAAGGCACCATACACCCACAACTCCAAAAGGACAACAACCACACACAACATCAACATCAACATCAACATCAACAAACGAGAGACCACTGGCGTGCCAACGCAGTCCAGCGCAACGCTAACCCTTCCTCACCTGAGCCTCCAATAGCTGCTGTGCGCAGGCGATGCAGGCGTTGGCGAAGAACGGGTCGAAGAACTCGGCGTCGCGCAACATCGCTACCAGCGCCTCTGCACATGAAAAAACACAAACACGATTTTTCGCGAGGGGACTTCTCATTGGTCACTTGTCTCTGCCCACTGCAAGACATTGAATGGGTTCTCTTGGACAAACATGAAGGGTCGGGTCGGGGTAGAAAACACCTACGTTCCCTTGGTGTTTGATAATATTATTGTAGGCATTGTTCTTGAAGGGGCGGAGAGGTTGGACGGGGGGGCGTTTTATAGATTCTCGACGATATGTATCTACCAGCAACTCGTAGACTCCGTGACCCGGATATGATTGATGACGAGCTACCACCGATGTTGGAGGCGAGGGGTAAACTTTGCGTAGTGCATGGCAACGGGGAATTGCGTCTAACAGAGCTGCCGTATCCGTGTGGTACACCCAACACACACCCACAAGAACACTTGATGTTCGCTCTCGATCACAGTTGCCACAGAGGAACAACCGCCAAAAGAGTACCACCTAACAAGCAAAATGGAGGACCGGCTGGACTTGAGCCTACGTCCGTACAACACTCCCCCCCCACCAAAACAACCTACTCCCCAACAGTCGTCGCAGGTGTCCATCAAGCGGCAGCATCATCACCATCAGCAGCGGCTCACCTGCCACGGAGCAGAGGGCCATCTGAGAAGCCTGCCCCGCATCATCTCCTAGCACGTTCGACAGCTTGTTCATGGCGACCATTTTCTCCGCCAGCTGCGTGGTCGAGTCCATCGACGCGACCAATCGTGACACCTTTCGAGCCGAGGGGAATGCATGCACCACCACACGGCAGTCGAACCGAACCGAACCGAACCGAACCGAACCGAAAGCAAACATCCCGTGGCAACCGTTGGGGAACATATGAGGGGTGCGTAGACGTGCGGTGCGATAGCACGACAAAGGCTGCGGCGGGCCGGTGGGTAGGTGGCTGCTACGGCAGCCAATGATAACATCAGAGACAGGTCTAGGGCTTCCGTTTCAAGTTTGGGATCAGCAACTCTTCGGGTCGAGGGAGCAAAGACAGCAGCCGATGCATGTTGAAGGTTTCGTTTCGGGGCAATCGAGTTTAGCCGCCGCTCTACAGCTGGAGTACAAGCGCAGGAAAAATGCTACAGGTGAAGCACGTGCTGTGCTCCTGCGCATTTTGTCTGCATCCGCAACCTCTTCGGACGTTTCCGCTCGTCAAAAACGGGCCTACAGCATTAGCGGTAATGCTATTGTGCCTGGTTCCAACCCCTCAGCGATTACCACAGGTACCGACACGCTTTGGCCGCCATATAACGTGGCATGAGCAAAGGTCAAGACGAAAAGCAAAAAACGCGGTCCAACCAAAGGCGGGACTGTCAGGACGTGGTTTGTTGGTGTCTAACATATTGGTCAAAACGTACGAAACACACACCTCGGCTTCGTCTACCGCCGGCACCGCCGGCACCGCCGGCACCTCGTCCGCGATGCCGTTAAGGATGCCGCTGGCGCTGCTGCTGTTGCCGTTGTTGAAGAGGCCGAGAGTCCCGTTGCTGCGAGCAGCGCCGGCTGCAGAGCCGTTGGAGTGGGGGGAGGAGGAGACGTTGTTGTTGTCGTGGTCGTCGGCCACCGAGGACAGCATGTCCTTCGCCCGTAGTGACATCCTCGACGAAACGCCTTCTACTCTTGAGGAAACCCCCTGAACGTGCAGTCGTGTACAACATGAGGGTTGTGTGTAAAATCACCGACATTTTCGGTGCGTCCGACACCAGGGCGAATAGCCTACTCGCTGCGGTGAATGCGCGAAACAGAAGACGCTCTACAATGTCGGCGGCATTGGGCCCCTTCAGCAGTAGTCTACAAAACCCCAGCATCGTCTGTGATGGTCATTGTCGCTGGGCACAGGTTTGTAGATAACGCCACTTCACCGATGCAGTAAAGAGGCCAAATAGTCGCAGCTCTTGGGGCGTTGTAATAGGGTTCGCTCGACTCTCATGCCCAAGGCGGGAGTCTCCTTGATCAGCCTCGGACCAACACACACACGAACCCGAACCCTATCCCTATCCCTAGCCATATAGCACAGGCGAGGACGAGCGCCAAGAAAGCTATCGCGCGTTCGGAGCGGGTGCGTTCATACAAATAGTTTAGGTTACTACAGCAGTATCACAAACGCAGGGACAACGCACTGCTGTTGATAGGCCCTAGAAGCGTAGTTGCCACTTTCTCTCCCCTGCTGTACACAGCAGTGCTCTTTCTCAGCACAATATGTGCAACACATACGTAACATCCCCGCACCCGGTTTGGGTTATTCTCAAAGGGTATGCATTGCATCTTTACAGTGAGGGTTGAGCGACACCTGCTGCATGTATTGCTGTAGTTGCTGATGGGATGGTACACACGTGCATTGTATACCGGTAAGCAAATACATTCGTATGTAGACCAAAACAGGTCGAGTTGTTCCGCACCACAAATGCACTGCAGTCGTCAGTGGTGGGATAGTAGTCGACAACATGGCAGGGTCCTGAGAACTGCAGTGCTGAGTACTGCACTGAGAGACCAGCCCTTCGCATACCTATGCTCTCCCTTCGTTCGTATAAGGAAGAGAGCTGAACAAACCACGAAGCTGTCAGTACCTACGCATAGAGCTTGAAAGCACAAAAAGTTTGGCGGAGAACAAAGGAACAGCAGGTGCGCATAATTTATGAATGAAGTAAAACAGCAGCAGTACCTTGAAAGCTCCTGTCGCCCAGCCTAGCGCCGACACGGACGAAGGGCCGCTGTCAAACATGTCCGATGGGACGGCCTCCAGTTCCTCCGAATCACCATCGTCTGGGTTCATCATACTGCTTGCTTTGCCTGGCACAGGGGTACTGGGTGCTAGCCAGTGCTCACGTGCTCACGCGTTTGCGGAGGGAGCTCCGTCGATCACGGAGTTTGATGACTGCTGTTTTGGCCTGTTTCTGCCGTTACATTCATTATTCCGCCGCATTTTCTGCAAGTGATCAATCGTATAAACATCGTCTTCCTGTCTCCCGCTCTGAACACTTGCTAAAAATTCTCTGTCTCCCTGAGCATAAAGTTCTCACTGGCTCACTGCTGTCCCTGATCCCCTCTCCGTGTGCACGGCCAACATCGTGTGCGTGCTATCCCTCAAAGTCAAAATGGGAGGCCTAGTAGAGACCGTTTTGTTGGGCTTGCTTGGTGCTGCGTCCATTTTCTTTGTCGAGGGTCAGGAGCTGACTTCCACCGAGACTGTCTCGAAGGACAAAATCATCAATGTCGGCTTCACGAACTTCAATCACGACGACAAACAAGAACACCAGCTCAAGACCGCCCTGCAATCAGACAACCTGCTTTCGGGTAAGGGCCCCGCCTGGGAAGCAGAAGTATTGTAGTATCCTCACGCCAAACCTATGCTGTAGTCTTTACATAGGTTGATCTCCTTTTAGTCTACAGCAGTGGACCATCTGCATCTGCATACATACCACTTTTATTGAATGCACACTACTTGGGGTTGTACACAATCCTAACCGAGAGTCACAGGCATCCCGTTAACTCACGTTCATGAGTCAAGCTTCTAGAAAATTGCTTGTTGTCAACGAAAGACGGCCGATTCGAGATATTCTGCTGCAGTCCATTCGAGGGGAGGATATGTTCCAAGTCTTGAATCAACGTTTTGACCTTCTCCTCGCCACGACATCGTCTAATGCTGTACCGTTACTGCCGAACTACTCTGTTACTGTCATTACGTTTCAAGCGGGCAATGTCGAGGTTGGAGACCTCATGTGCGATACTCTCGAAGATGCTAAGGAGGCGAAGGCGCTAGAGTTTTCGATAGGAGCCGGTCAGGTTCGTTCGTGTTGCATTTGTTTCCTACGTTGATGTTCAGGAAGACGCGAGAACAACGACGCACATACACGACCCAATTTTCAACGGGCCAATGAGTCACACGTTAATATAATTCATTTTCCCTCTCTGACAAACTGTTCGTTTTCATTCGTTGTTTTCATGCACGCACGCGGGTCAACGTATCCCGAACACATTTATTTTACGGAGATGTGATATTCATCATGAAATTTTCGTCGTTTATGTCATTCGTTCAGAGGGGCAGCGGGTGGGAGTTATCGCGTGGCATGAAGAGACCACAAACTCTGTTTAACAGTCTACCGCAGACGAGCATATGGAGGGGTGGGGAATAGTCCATTTTTCTCGTGGTTCGGCGTTCCGCGTGCGTTAGGTTGGCCACGTCGAAGCGGAGGTTGTGGTGTACGGTTTGAGAGCATGGAGCACTAAGGCACCAATTCCTCACCTTTCTTTGAGCTTGACCACACGTCGTCCCCAACCCTTCCTTTCCCAACACCTTGCCTCCGGGTACCCCGCACAACGCGTCATTTCGATCACGACTGCGCAGACGGTAATAGCGGACCTCGTGTCGTTCACAACAGTGAGCGGGACTGCATTTTCCGACGGCGAACCTCGTTTCGTAAGTGTGTGGAGGACAGAGAGACAGGCGTTCCGAAGGGGGCCAAAGGGACACATGTGACGTGCGGGATCCCTTAACTCGCACTCCTCCTTTGGCCAACATACGGCTTGCTCTTAGCCCTGGCTAATGCACACACCGGTCTTGCATTGGAATGTAAGCCAATCGCAGAGAACACACATGACCACTTTCGACTCTCGCTCTACTTGCTGTGCTCGTGTGGACGTAACGTAATAGATCTGGACGGGAACCGTGAAGGAAAGCGAAGATTTCGACGGTCTGCCTCGGTCGATCTCCATGACGTGGACTGCTGACTGCTCCACCCAGGTAAAAAGGGTGCATGGTCGTCGTTGTCGCTGGGTCATGTGACGAGGCTACTGCTGAGCACCATGCACACACGACTTGCCCTCCCACCCACAACGATTAAACAGCGGGTGATCATCTACACGCGGTTGAATAAGTGCATTGCTTGGGGCATGTGCAATACACGCACGTGCACACCTCCTCTGAACATCCACCCGGCTGCCCCGACGATGGTTTCGCACGATGTCACCGCTGCAGAACTTCGTGGTGCAGATGATATCTCCAGCCAAAGACGGGGGTGTAGACACGATGGTGTCTCTCCCAAACCCCAGCAACGGGGAAAACTTCTTACTCGCAACTGTGAGTGCTGGAGATGCAGTATCTGGCAAGCTCTCAAAGAGGTCGTCGAACGGTAGTTGGTGTTGACCAAGGAGTCGAACGTTCTGGAGCATACCCGGAGAAAGTGCCTAGAGGTTGTGGCAGGTTAGCGTTGTATACTACCACGCTTGCAGCATGGCCCGGGGCGGCCTCAGTCTTGAGCCGTCATGACGAGGGGGTGTACAAGAAGCAGACCTCATTTGTTTCTATTGCTCGCAAAAAGATCGTCCCTGGCCGCACCACCCCACGATTCTCAAGACACGCTAACAACCCTACCGTATCCTAGATACCGTAGGTTTCTTTTTTGCTCTCTGCCATGAAGTATAAAGAAACACATGTCGAAGACCTTATGGGAGATAATGTTTTTGCCCGGCTTATGCTGTTACTCGAACCCACACCCACCCGTGCTTGAAACTACCAGGTCCACCACAATTCCATAGACGAAATTGACGTCGAGGATGACATCGGGCGACGCCTCCAGATCGCCGACAGCGTCGGTGAGCAAACCAATCTACGACAAGGGGTCCAACGGTCTGCCCTCGACGACGGTTCGGAGATCTTGACCCCTCGACGGCTCCTCGCCAAGGAGGCGGAAAGGGGAATCGAGAGGGCAAGGCTGGACGACCCGGACATCGACGCCAAGGATAACGACATCCGCCAACTCCAGGTGCGGCGCAAGAAAGAACAGCGTAGACCAGCTTAGGCAAAGAACGACCTCTGTAAGATGCCGATTGGTGATCAGAATGCCTTCCCGGTCGGTGAAAACCTGACGTGCTCCGCCTCAGCCTCCAGGGACGAAAATGTCGATTGGCAAAAATATTCTTGGTTTGGCAAGTTCACTCTCACACCTCCGCCCCCCATTGCCTTCTGCTTGGAACTACCATTCCATTCCGAAGGAGTACCGGTCAGCTTCTCCGGAAGGCCAAGAGGCATTCCACGAACGTGGACTTCGCCGCCTGAGCGAGGACAACGTTGTCATGCCCGGCGGCCGAGTGCTTTCGAGTGAGGTCAGACCAAGGAACGGGAGGGTGTGTGTGCCGGGCATGAGGCGTAGGGAGCTGCTGTTGTTGTTCGACTAGAGTCTGGTTTTCTACTCATGAGACCAAGTGTTCAACTAACACATTCACGGCGTCAGCACGCCCGTTCGCGTTGATTCGTCTCTCCTGCGTCGAGCGTGGACTAGACGACCGAATTGTTGATCACTGGAAGAGTCTATCGCCCGATACCACTTCCTTGCTCCTGCACGATAGCACTAGCATTTCATGGCTTCCGTCCCACACACCCCGAGCCCTAAGAGCGCCGACGGTACGGACCTTGCAGCCAAGAAATTTTTTGTTAAACAGCAGAAGCTAAAATTTCACGGAAGATAAGAAAACAGGGCTCAGAAACACAACTACCTCAGCGGTGGATCCTAGACAAAGCTCTATATAACAACCTGTGCTAGACAGTAGTGGTGGCGATGAAACAAGAAACAGAGCCTCGACGCAAATTTGGCGTTTCCTATCTCCGGGTTCTCATCCTGTGCAAAACGAAAACCAGACCGTGATCGACGTATTGGTGCTGTACACGGAAAAAGCCATGCTGGAGTCGGACTCCGGAGACGGAGCTGGCCGAAGTATTGCACAGATGGAGAGCGACATAGCCACGGCTTACCAAGGGGCCAACAACGCACTATCGGCGTCTGGGGTCAACTTCTCCGTGAGGATCGTGCACATGGAACAGGTACTGTCTGGATGTACGCATACTCGCAAGAAATGTTTGACGTGCTTGACGGTCCGCAGCAAGAAAATAAAATCAATTCGAGACAGTATAATATGCCCGTGCGACGGGCTCATGGTAGCTGTCTATCCACTCACAGCTATGGTGTGATGGAATAGGACTTCGATTGATGTTTCATTTGCTTGGCTGTTACTCCAGGGTCGCGGCGGCCACAAGAGGGGCTGTCAACTAGGCATAATGACGGCGGTGGTAGAGTTCAGCGATTATAAACGGGCCAATCTTGCTGGGAATGAAGCCTAGCGTTGCGACCATTTCGTTCAACTGATGCCATGGAAGACGGTGCCTGAACCAAACACATATCGCCTGGACCCAGCCTACTCGCATCTCCTTGACCGCGTTATTGGTGTCAATATTCTCTCTATCGAGGTTTGTTTGTGGGTTCAAAACACCGAGCCCATCTTTGACCCCCGCCACAGCATTCAAAAGCACCCACAGCTATCGTTGGTGGACGCATCATCAACAATCCCGCGACGGACTCCCCACCATGCCCCTCTCCCGCGTTTCTACTCCTTGCTCGGCACGAGGGAACAGGCACCTTTCGACGAAAGCGACAGCATCGTCGACGACGTGCGCGCCATCCAGAAGAACGAGGGCGTGCACAAGCTGCGCGACGAATACGGCGCTGACCTCGTGCAGCTGATCGGTTACTACCTCAACACATGCGGTGTCGGGTAGGTCACTGTTCTCGCCGTCCACTGAGCCTGGTTCGGCGGGCCCAACCTTCTGTTGTTTCGACATCGCATGGCCGGGTACGAACCTCGTGTGTCCAGGGACAAAGTCTCTGATTTTTTGCCCTCTATCCCCCGTGTACGCACAGGTTTACCATGGGCAGCCCCTCTTCCGGCTTTGCTCAGTACGGCTACTCGGTGGTCCACACCAACTGCCTGTCCAACTTCTCGCACATTCACGAGCTCGGGCACAATTTCGGAGCCAACCACAACAAGGAGAACGCGGGGGGGAGCGACGGCGTGGATGCCTACAACTACGCGTACCGCAACTGCGAAGTAGGCACGAAGTAAGTGCCCTTCATGTTCCAAATCCTGTGCTGAGTGCTCAGAGAGTCCGTCTCTCTACCTGACAACGATGCACGGGTCCGCCCGTCGTCGATGTCGGGCGGCCAGATTACTACTTCCAGTAGCCCGTGCCGCCCACAGTGGTGTAGGCCAGTGCAACAACTCGCGGCCTGACGGAAGCGTGAAAACCGAGGAGGTCATGTAGGGGTGCTGGCAAAGCTGCGTGGCGCACGTCCCTGTCTCCAGCGTCACGTCGAGTATTCCACCAGGCAGAACTAGGTGGAACAAGTGACACCACATGTCTAGAGTGAGCAAACGAAAGGCCACGCGGAATCCCACGCGCACCTCTCTCTTGAGAGTCGATTCGGTTCGACCACAACACACGCTTGTCGTTACCATGCTCTGTTCGGAAGGTTTCGCACAATCATGGCGTACTCCTCGGGCTGCCCGTCAACTCCACGGGTGAACGTCTTCTCCAACCCCGACCTCACCTACGCCAACCAGCGCCAAGGGACGGAAAACGCGGACAACGCCCGTGTCTTGAACGAAGCCATGGTACGAAGCTTGCCTTGTCTGTTGTGTGGTAATGGTGTCTCGTCGTCGTCGTCGTCGTCGTCGTGGTTGTTCTGTTGCCTCTGCCTTCAAAGCGAACAGCGATACGACTTCTACGCAGCTTCCTACGCAGATCCTTCGTGTCCCCGTACCATCCGATCAATGAAACGAGGCTTGATGGTCACAGGTCACAGGCTGGAACTCCCTTGGAGCAAGTTGTGAATGAAACGAACGAGAAGCAACCGTTCCACTTGGGAGAGAACGAAGTGTTGAGATACCCCCAAGATCCGAGAAGAACATACTGATCAATAGAATCCCTATCGCTCACGCTTGAAACCCAACATGTTGAATGGCTAGTCGGAAATTCATCAATGAAAAGCGAATCGCGTGCTTCAGTGGAAGGGGCGAGAACGCCGACTTTGTCGGGAATGTTCAAGTACGGCTTCCACCGCCGTGGTGTGGGAATTGTACGTAGGAGGGGTCGTGTCATTTTGTGCTCAACTTACGCAGGGTGCGTTTTCAGTTGCGACCTTGATCTCCGCGCGCTTCACAACCGGAGTTTGTTTCAGGTTTGTCTTCACATGGCTGGGTACATCGAAGTGCTCGGAAAGATTTGTGAATTGAACTACTGCCTGCTGTTTGTTGTTTCACACGTAATACTCTAATGTCCCGAATCGCGACGCAAGATGCAAAGTCCAGCAATCCTGAATCAAGATTCGACCCAGTCACACCAAAAAACACGCCACCAGGCTGGCGCTTGCGTTCGCAGACACAATAGCCTGTTTTCCTCTCTGGTCTATCTAGTCTTATCTCACCCTACAATAACATCCTACTGTAGTTCTTATTCTCCCTCTACTCTATCGCCCATCAACCCTTCTGTACCCGCGAGCAGTCAACGGTCGTCAACTTCCGTGAGAGTACAACCCCTACACCTGAGCCAGGTAACAAAGGTTATTATTTTTCTTTTTATTTCGTCAGTAGTATGACCCAACGAATCGATCTCTATCGAAGAAAAGAGTCTAATTGTTTCGTTGTCGTTCTGAGACTCGCGTGAAGGAAGCCACACGCAACGCTGCTTTGGCAGGATCAAACAGTTGTGGGCTTGAACGGAGATGATAGTGTTGTCCGCTATGCGGCAGGGTAGTCGGCATGCCCAAGTCCCGTGCAAACGAAGACCGTGGTTTGTAGGCATGCAAAAATCAACGGAGATAGAGAGACCGGATGAGCCACAAACACATGTATGCTCGATAACCCCGACGCTGGTAGGTTCCCCTTCGACAACGAATGGCCGGAACCAGACCACATTCCTGCACACGAAGTGTCACTTTTGACTGGTCGCAACCACAGTCTGTATCGTCAGTCCACTAGGTTCGCGATAGCAGGGAAGCGTTTCCAGAGTCGTTTGAACCATCTCCTCTTAAGCCGGACAATTGTCAGTGTAAAGGCACGACAATGTAACAGGGGTATTCCAGCTATCTATGCGGTTACGCCTTTACGATGATGTAGCCTGAATTCGACCGGCGAGGGCTCAACTAGATTGCGGGGTGAACTCGTCTGAAACGGGTCAAGAACCGATTCGGGCGCGATAGCATGATCATCTAGATCCACCGGTCTAAGAAGTGGGCAATTCCACAACAACTGGGATTCCTTCGCTAGTATTACACTGTAGCGTTGCATGGACTAACCGTCTCAGTTGCTCACAAGCGGTTTCTTTCACAGTGTTTTGGGCTTCGTTTGGCTTCGTTCACTATGGGCCGTGACAAGCAATCACGTGCTGTTGTGGTGCTTAGCAATGGGGGTTCCGCAACTGATCCTGGTCACCTTCGGGTATACCCTAGCCCTCCTCAAATGCCTTCGCAGCCGATTGGATCATCGAATTTCCCGAACGTGGAGCTCCGTGACAGCAACCACATGTAGCTACTCACACCCACATCCACTTCAGTAGATCGCTCAACGACATTTCTACTCTGTGCTTCATGCCTCGGCACTCTGGCTACCCGTAGTGCTTGCCGGAAAAACGTAGAGGCAACCCGCCAAATCTCTCGATCATCCGACATTTTTAGCGTACACTTTGGCTATATATAGAGTCATAGATTAAATCGATGGCACGTCAGACAATCCTCGGGCGCAATTGAGCACCCCATGTTACAAAGAAAGCTGTTTGTTTTTCCTTATGATTTGTTCGTCTGTAGGCACTATCGACAAAGATCGAACGCTACCGCCACCGAACCGATCTCCAACGTACACCATGCCCGCAGTAACGACGTCCATCTACCCGGAGGCCCTTACGGACAAATGGATGAAGAGGAAAGGATGCTTCCAGGATCAGTTTGACGACAGGTGCGGAGTCGAAAGACGCAAAAAATGATAATATAGCACGGCGGTGAGATCAGATAGCCAAATTGGTCCGCCAAATCGTGTCCTTGCCATGCCGCTTGCCATGCCGCCCGCGGCGATCTTGTACGGGCGTGATGGGGGCTTTCCTCAAGGTCGTCAGTAACAATCGACAGGGGGGGCTAACGGGCACAAACGAGCCATAAATCGTGCCTTCCCCGTACTTTCTCGAGCCAGGGTGATGCATGCCGGCACTTCCATGCCGGCGATCGAGGGGAAGACCATCGGAATGACCCGCGACAACTGCATGGCTTACTGTCACAACCACACCAAGAACTACAAGTTCTTTGGTGAGGCGAGACCTCGGCACGTTGTACCTGATAGGAAGCGGGTAGCCGGAAACTAGCAGTGGGTTAGCGGTGGGCATAGAGTTCTTTCGAAGGCATGGGAAAGCCAAGGGCGGCCGCGACAAGGGAATGCGGCAATGCCATGGCAGACTTCGCTCGTCGTTGACGGTCTGTAGGAATCAGCCCGGAACTGTTCGAGTTGCCGTTTATCCGTGGGTGATGACAAGTAACAATCGCGACTCTCTCCCATGCGATGCCTCGTAAGGTGTGGAAAACGGAGAGCAATGCTTTTGCAGGAATGGCAGCAAATACAAACGCCATGGCGAGCTGGACCCGTCCATGTGCTCCACGGAATGCGCCGGGGACCGCACCAAAACTTGCGGAGGGTCCAATGCGATCGAGGTCTTCAAGATCAAACACCTCAGCAACGACATGGGTGTTCACGTCCCTGCTCCCAGGTGAGGAAGTTGTTCTCTCTGCCTGATCCACCTGGCTTCCGATTCGAGCCCATACCTTTGCTTCCAGCACGTGCTCTAAGACGCGCATCGTTTGTGAGGCCGGTGAACATCCTCGATCGTGACTGACGCTCGACGCCATCTTACTTCGAATGCGCTAATAACTCGTTTCGATGCACGATAATCACCCATGAGGCCGTTAGTTTGCCTTCTCGTTAAACCGAACGACTCGGTGGGAACCAAACTCTAGCAGAGAAACCACGATATGTCTTTTTCAGCCGCTTGGCGTTATGGGTCTGTTGTTGTTGTCAGTCCTCTCGACTACGAAGGGTGCTACCTCGACGTACGGCCTGATCTGGGAATGGATCGCGAAGAGATCGATCTCTACACGAGCGCCAGTCCAGAGGTGGGTCGCTCGATGGGGATGGGGGAGAGAGAGGTGTCCGTGTTTGGACATGGAATGTCTTTTCCTACCGTAATCGCCTCCAACGCGACACTCACTTAACGGAGCGGACCAAACCATACACTGTACCGCCACCGCATCAGCTTAAAGTGTTCGTAAACATCCAAATCGAATTGTTGGCATTAACAGACACGAACGTTGCAACCTGGGTCGTCGGTGACAGCATGGTTTGCTCCGCTCATTCAACCCGGGTGTGAGTTGGGGCGACGTAGGTGATTGCACCTCATGTACTCCTCTTGCCCAAGACAATGCTGACCTCCCTCTCGTCTCTCCCCGGATGGCTGTCTCAGGCGTGTGACAAGCATTGCGGCGAGATGAGCTACCCGTTCTTCGCTCTGAAGTATGGATTCATATGTTCGTGCGGAAACAGCGTGCCAGACGAGAGCCGCCGGGCAGACGACTGCCTATGTTCTACGGTCAGTAGTCTCATCGCGTACTCTTGAGACCCTTTGTTTGTTCTTCGTTCCTCTTCTTTCCGATACTTGTACCTTGCGGCCGCCCCATATATTCGCTTTTTTTACATAGGTCCATTCTCAACACAACATGCCGTTCCTTGTTCTGTCACCCCGTGAGACTCTGTCGCTCAGGTATGTATGCAGAAGACACCACGAGGGAAGTGAGCGTACGCGTTTTATCAGGTTGCGTTAACCTCCGAACGTGCTTCCGTCCTGTTCAAATGGCCCAATTTTTTTCCCCACAGCCGTGTAGGAGCCCCGACACCAACAGCACATGCGGCGGGGATTGGCACCAGGCAGTCTTTTGGGTGTCCGAAAGGGGCCAATGATAATACTACGAGAGCGAGTGGACGAAAAAGGCGATCGAATGCTTCACGAACTGCTGTCTCGCACCCCAACAAAGGGCCTAGGGCAACTCGTCATGGAGGTATCCCCGTCGGGGCAAACGTTCGATCGACTTCTGCGCGTGATCTCAAAGGACCACCTTCTTCCCCGGTGTGTGTGGATGAGCTCAATGCCGGCTGGTAACCAGCTGTTAATTTGTATTCACCACTTGCTACCCTGAGGGGGGCTCGCACATCTTCGTTTCTTTTCTCGCAGACGGTGTCTCGGGTAGATGGCAGTCCGTGGCCGTTTTTTGCTCAAACATTTAGCATCGGTTGGGTACAATACTATTATATTTGGCTGTACATTTAGATAGGCACTCTTTCACGGCGTGGTGGTCGGGAAAACACACGTCGACCGATACATCGGTCGGCAGGGAGCGAAAACCTCCAACAACACACCAGGCCTAGAAAAAGCGAATACCTGGTGCACGTTTAGATCATGTCGCAACCCCACTTCTTTCTGATTATAATCAGTCATAGACTAGAAGTACAACGAAATATGGCATAGACAGCCGTGCTGCAAGGCCGTGGCAGAGAAACGAGGCCAGAGGCCGCACAAGCAAGCGGCCAAGATATATCCTGTAGCAAAACGGCGCAGGTTAGAGGTTCCACGGGCAGTGTATGTAATTCCTGGGGCAATGTTTGTCGAGTCCGTCCGGTGTGTGTGTGTGGTGATCTGTGGTGATCTCTCCTTGTCTGTTCGTGTATCATGCGATAGCGAGACGAGGTGTCGCGACCCTTCTTGAGGTCGTTTGGCCCTTGGCAGACACCATATAGAAAGTGTTTCTCCACATCTCCTCCTGCGGTGTTTGCCTTCGATTTTGAACGCGAAACGGGTCCTACTGCAATAAAGATCGCGTCGTCAATAAATAACGAGACCTCGGCACAGATTAATTTCGTTTTGCCGTTGGTCGTTCCTTTTGTGGTTCTACAAAGTGCTCACATCATACCGTCAATACCAGGTGTATAATATTTCAGTGTCATTCTCGCATTGTCTGGTATTATTGTACTCACTCGTAGTTCAGTGTACTTCTCGTTTTGTCTGGATATCTTGTACTTCGAGTATTGCAATTCTGTGCCATTCTCGCTTGTACCAATTGTCATGTATGTACGTAAATGCTGGAAGCGTAGCTAGCTGTATCCGTAGCTGTATCTATATGTTTCGCGACGTCGAGATTCACGCAACAACGAATGTGGGAGGGAGGGGAGATGGACGATGGCTATGCTACAGTATTCGCGCTCATCATGAGGAGGACAGTCTAACAGCCCGGTCACCCGCCCTAGGCACGTAGTAATGTAGCTTGTTTCTGGTCCTCCTTTGCTTTGACCCCGTGAAAGGAATGCAGCAAGGAGAGGGCTTGTGCGATTGAGACCATGATGTTTTTGTTGGGAAGGTGACTTCGTTTTTCCTGGGAGGGGGGGGGGGGGGGGGCGCGGTTTCGTGGACACGCCAATACTACATAATTTTGTCTTCAGGGCGTTAAATGTTTTTGTCTTCAGGGTGGTAAAAGCTTTTCGTCTTCAGGGTTTTCAATGGTTTTGGTCTTCAGGACGTTAAACGCGTAAAGTGCGCTACTATAGGGGGGTCCTTCGCGTTCGCAAAGGGTGCAGAGCATCATATCAGGCTCGGCGGCCACCGGTAGCTTTTTACAGCGCTTCGAACTAGCTTACATTTTGCTTCTGCTATAATTTGAAGCGCACCAACGGCAAGAAAAGAAGGATATCTGTTGTTTCGACATCTCGGACGAACTATGAGCAGCCAAGGATAGCGTTCATTGCCAGGGTCAGCTGGGCCTGCATGCTAGCGCCATTGCTAGGCAGCTGAGAGGTAGGCATGCTGCCTTGCAAAACGCATAGTACCTCGACAACGCAAGCCAGGAATATATGTTCTGGGAAAACTTCAAGACATGGAACGCGCCAAAGCCAAAAAATGCTAAAACGCGCCAGCAGCCTTCAAATTCCGCGCCATTGAAGCGGTTGAACCGATGAATGATAGCATCACATTCTCCAGACAAACCACACCGGACTATTAACTGGCGCCGCCCGCAAATCAAAGCAACGGCACGATGATCGAGTAGGGAGACGGCACTACACGTACGTCGTGGTGCACACAGAAGAAACAGAACAAACGTGATTTGGGGCGAAATAGACGCCGTCACTACCGGACCATGACAGCCAAATACCATCATCATCTCCGGGGGGCTGTTTTCTCGCTGTACGCGGTGAGTTGAGGTGATCACGTCCCCAGGCCCAGGGAGAGCATTCAGCAGCAGGTAGTACATGTGGTATCGGGAGTATTGAAATTGAACTTTGACGAAAACCCCAAATCCTCGACCCCGCTCTTTGAGGACAGAAAAAAACGCGCGAAGAATATGACAGTGTTCTTGAATCCAGCTCTCTCCGACCCCGTGCTCTTTCAGCCAAGAAAAAAATGCGAAAAATAAAAAATAGTCAAGAGGATGAAAAGCCCGACCTAGGTAACTCGTTCCTGATGATCGCCCTGAGCCCACGGGGCCAATTCACAGTGCCTTCTTAATTCTGCTCCCGCAAGCAGTTAGAGGCGGAAACGAGCAAATATGAGTACACAATAACCCTACAACCTCGACACTAGCACAAAAGCCTACCGGAGTAGCACGCCGAACCGGAATATATGCCAGCGGTGGATGATTTCCTGATCGACGCTATATACGAAGAACCCGATACCAGACAGTCCGTGACTTGTTCAATCCAAAAGCCCGTGCCCCGATGGAAACAGCAGCAGCAGGAATGGGTGCGTGGGGAAACACTAACACTGGCTCCGACACTTCCCTTGGCGGGGCCGACTCTATAGCGTATTATTAGATACAACGACAAACCCCGGAGTGTCAAGTGTCAAGGGGAAGGGGTTCCGTGGACTCGGAGCCGGTAGATGCAGGTATAGGCCCCCTCGCCGTGGTTGCTGTCCACCACCAAAGCGATGACCCCGTAGTCCACCCTGTCAAGACGTGCGGTCGACCGGCGGCGGGGCCCAAGGCAAGGGAGTTGAGCGAGGAGAGGACGATGTTCGTCGACCGGTTGAAAACGAACAAGAAAGCATGGCACGAAGATTCCGCACATATCATTTTGTCAGTGAAGAGTTAGGCTTATTTTGAGCGAAACTGTCGCCATTCGGGCCGGGTCACAGTGGGAATGATAGAATTGGAACCAAACTTCCGCCGCTGCGCAGGGCGATGTCTAAGTAAGCTTGTTTGGCGTTTGTTGCTGGACATTGGGCATGACTATGTACTCCCGGGGTGCTTGCCGAGTGGCTGACGATGTCGGCCTGCACGCGATCACGCAAAGCTACGATCTACGGAAGCAGTTAGCGTACGGCGTATGGGTGTGAGCCTCAGGCCCACGGTCAAAACGTAAACGATGTGAGATACGTTTGCTCCCTTTTCCGTGCAAGAAAGAAAAACACACACACGGTTAGCGCGGTCGATGCTAACAATTAAAAAGAAAAACACACACACATACTTCTTCTGTTGCTGCTGTTTCTGTCTTTGATCCGAAGGCTAGTTTAGCCTCCCCCATGCTGCCCCCTCACGGAGTCCCAGTTCATGGCAGATAGAAGTGTTTTGTGTTTTCAACCGCACTAAGACTGACGTCTTTTCATTGGTCAGCCGGTTAGCGCGATCGATGCTACTAATAAAACACACACACACCCTCACGGGGTCCCAGATCATGGCCTTTAGAAGCATGTCTGTTCTCAACTGCACTGAGACTGACATCTTTTCACTGCCCAGCCGGTCAACCAACAAGCGGAACACCGCCAATCTAGCCGGTAAACGAGGATGAAAGAAAGAAAAAAACTGGAAACGGGTGTCACTCTGGATCGAGAGAGCACAACAGATGAGCACACGCTTCTGCCGCACACAACATGAGCTTCTTCCAACCTTGGCAGTGGGCCAAGACGTCTGAAAGACCCCCAAAGACTTACTGTCGATACTCCTCGGCGACTTCGAAGAACTGGATGACGTCCCCCTCCAGGCGATACTCCCCTCCGCTGACAAGAACGTCCCCGGGGTCATCATCCCTTACCACCCGACCCTTGGGATAACCTGAAACAAAAAATAACCCCGTACAGGAAGACATCGCGTGCGCGTTCCACAGACAAGGATTAATGTCAACCGTCCAGGCCAAGAGGGACAACGCGAAACTTGGGTCATCGTTCACGTTCGACAGGAAGAGACCTTCCCGAAAAGGTAGGTCTGCCTCGGCCGCGGAACCCCCCCCCCCCCCCCCCCCCCCCCGGTGCTCTCACCAACGACATTTGTTCATCGGGCATCGCACGAGACTCTCTTACGTTCCAAATGCGACAAAATATGAAATTTCAACGATTTCGTAAAGCGTACGACGACCCTACAATACTCTAACCCGGAAGACCCCCTGTGCGACCTTGGGAACCCCGGCTGCCCCCCGCACCACTGGTCGGAAATGAAAACCTCTGGTATGACCGATTAAAAACTAGTTCACCCCCGCCCCTAAAACAAAAACCACTGCCGGCCTCTCTGCCCACTGCTGAATTTCGATGTTGTAGGCATGTTTTACTTTCACCGCTGGCACTCACTGCTTCACGCATACAGTACAACATAAGAGGGGAAGTGGTGACTAAATAGAGGCTGCGCATGCAAGCCTAACGTTTTCCCTCTTACCGACGACGGTGAAATCCTTCGGTGCAGAAACGCCCTTGTTCAAGAGCACCTCCCGCGGGGCGTGCTCGAGCGATATCGACTCCACCTTGATCGTCCGAGCCAGCTTCACTGTCAGCCTTCCGTCGGAACCTGGAACAATAACGTCGGAGATATGCATGCACGCATCGCAGAACACGAACCATTAAGGGTGTCGATGAGCCGAGGCAATCAAGCGTCAACACTCCACAAAATGCCATCAACACCAATGCATCGCAGAACGCCAAACACAGAGGATGTCCATGAGCCGACGCGATCAACACTCCACAAAATGTCATAAAAAAATTCCCTGCGTTAAGTCCAAGATCCCCTCAGTCCAACTTGATGGCCACACCAACTGCTGCTGTGGCGTGCATGATTGTGCGTACCCTCCTCTCACCACCGTTGTGATGCACAGGACCGGTACAAAGAACAATCACGGGCGCCGAGAGGCAAAAAAATTGCGTCCCACACCGATAGGGGTCAACCTTCTAAAGCTTCTTAAGCTTCACAGGCCGGCGTAGGCTCGAGGCAGAGCGGCAGCGACAGCGACGACCACTCCCAAACGTTTCAGCCTGCCTCACCCTTCATGGGCCAGCATCTGCCCAGGCGCGACTCCGGGTTGATGGCCACCGGTGGAGGGCTAACAGCTTGGAGGGAGGCCCCTCGCCTCTTGCTGCGAAACCATTCCAGGGCTCCCATCGGCTGAGTGGAGAGAGGGTTGAGACATGGCCATGGGTGAAAGCGAGACCAACGAACCAATTCAGAGACAACACTAGGGTGTGGAGCGAGATAAAACCGGCGGCGATCAAAACGACTCCAGTGGCAGAGGAAAACAACGGGGAACCCACGACTCGCACACTAGCCCAGATCTTCGACAAGCGCGAAATAGGCCTGGCAACACCTTCGTGCGACCGGAAACAACGTAGGTAATGAGGAGGGCTCTTTGAGCCATTGGCGAGAGGACGGGACTTCACCTGCTGGTGCCCGCCTCACAATTTTACGCACGACAATCAGCAGAGGTCGACATAAAAAAAACAGCCGGGACAATGACACAATCGTGATATATTATGTTCTCTCACCCTTTCATAAACTTGTGCTTCGAGTTCAAGTGTCCTTACTGTTGGGCAGGATACCAGTAGCATGGCCAGCAAACACCCACAAAAATAAATAAAACAGCTCTGCCAACCACCGCCCGCGCCTGACAAACGGAGACTGCCTACAACGCAAAGAAAGTACAAGGTTGTCGCCAAAAAAGACCAGGGAGGGGGCACGCAGACCGTAACTCTAACCTTAACCCCAACTTAGCCGATGCTACACTTTATTCAGTATGTTTTGCTCGCTTAGAAAAACCTGCGTTGACTACTGTAACAAACGAACGTCAGGCAGACTCACGCACCGGTTCGTAGGTTTCACTGGTCATCCTAGAGATCACGTGGGCGCCGGCAGGTCCCATGGCGTAGTCAGGGATCCCAGTTCGATCCGCACCAAACCTGTGATTGTGATAAAAATACACGAAACACCATCCGTGTTTGTACTCGCTTCGTGAGAAACTTCGGGGAAGGGGTTCGCTAGTACTGCTTCTTCCAACTCGCCCGTTTTTTGGTTGGCGACCACAGTAGAAGTAGTCGGGTTGCTCGAAATTGGTTGTGTCCATGAAGCGAAACTTGCGGCAAGTCTCAAGATGGACGTTCGCATGGGGGATGCCAAAATACAGTATAGAGGATCATCAATCTGCATCTGACACCTCGTTTAAGTTCTGCTGAACGTAATTTCCTGCCGTCAGGAGCAACGTATCCCCTGTTGGGTTCGCAGATACACATGAACGTGACTGGAGAGGGCAAAAATAAATATTCATGATCGCCTGGCAATTTTTTTTTTTTTTTCTTAATATGACATAACGAAACCATCTCTATCATAGAAAAGAGTCTGAGACAGATTAGCAATGGATTCATGCGTCAGAAAGTACCTGTATGTCTACGATTTCCCAGACAGCATATAGGGACATCTCCCCTGCGGGTAACAGGCTCAACAAGACAGTTTTGTTCTTTGGTGGTGGGGAAACTTTCACCATGAGAAAACAAACATACCGCACAATATTACTACTTCCAAAGGCAGCTTGCTCGCCGACGAGTGTGCGAGACTTTCGGTGTTTATATTTTGTTCGGATGAATCGCGGCGTGTTTTCACGCGACGCGCGGGATATTCGGCCCAATCAAGCCGATCTGGTTGGTGTGTCGATGTAATAGTAATAGAAATACATGTATGATATGCATAGGCCACACGAGAAAGGGGCAATCAAACCCGACACCACGCTCGGCCTCCTTTCCCATCCGCGTGTTCCCCCTTCCCCTTACCTCTCCAGCTCAGCCCTGGTCAGGTTCCGAGCGAGATCAACCGTGACGCAGGAATCCGGGGAGGAAGGCGTGTCCACGGAAAGCACCACCTCCTGCGCAAAAAACCCGGCCAAGAACAGAGAGCATGAGAGGGAGGTTTTGTCAACCAACCGGCGGGGGCGAAGACAGACCAAGGCTGACCTGACTATGCATACGACGAGAAAAACTTCCCGCAGATTAAGAAGGGGACGAAGACCAAGGCTGACTTCATGACGACGAAACAATCTTCCGCAGACTAAGAACGGGATGAATCGTTGCCAGGGAAGTTAAAAGGGGGAGAGACGGGGGTTGTTTTTCATCGAACGGAGAGCTCAGTCGCTTGACAGGTCACAGCACACGAAAAGAGTCGCAGTGGCCTTGGGTACTGTAAGTCGACAGTCGGGGCGATCTCCTGCAAACACAAAACCATGGACAAATTCGGGGGTCGTCGGTTGGGACCCCCCCCCCCCCCTTGGTGCGACGTCTCATCGTCTGATTGCACCGCACATCGCGTTGTTGTCACTCGCCTTCTACCTGGTACTGCTGTGCTTTCACGAGCAGCCTAGCGTACAAAGGGCGAAATGGAGAGTAAAGTGACAGGTGGTCTTCCACCACAAATGATCTCAACTAATAGTGTACGGGGTGGATCAGGGACCTATTGTCGTGATCCAGCTGGAACGATCGGGGGAAATAATTACATAAATAGAAGTCGCGGACGAGCGCGCATGCAGGGCACCCACGGGCAAGACAGGCGAACAGGAACAACGACGTATTCAAAAAAAGAAGAAAAACACAAACGAAAAGGAAATAAAATGACAAGGAGAACAGAAAAAACAGAACCCAATCGGATGTCAGCGGAAACATCGCGGCCATACCGGATACAAACGCCCAGACTCAATAGCGTTACCTCCACCACCCGGGCGATGTCTTCATCGCTGACCTCGGCTGGCCGTCCCCCCCTCCCTCCTCCCCCCCGCTGCTCCCGCGTCGCCTCCGCCGCGGCGGCATACCGAGCGGCCATCTCCTCCGCTTCTTGCGTGGCCACGGCAGCGTTGACCTCGCTTTCCACCTCTTGCAGTCTCCCCAAAATTTCCTATTTATCAACAAGCAGGTACAAATGGCAGTTTTCAAGGAATGGGTAAGGGCAAGAGCGTGCGTGCAATGGGTTGCTGGTCACCAACTAGGTTATGGATGGGTGGTCAGGCCGCGGCGTGTGGAAAGTTGACGTATGTGCATGGCGACGTGATAGACCAGTGCTGTGCACTTGATGGATCAGAGCAAAATAAGAAAGATAGACCAGAAAGCTTGAGTCAGGATCTGATTTTGCAACCAAGATCCACCGCAGACGAAGACTTCGTCATTGAACAACCGGGCCCACCTCTCGGCGAGTAGCTGTTCTGAGCGAGGTCAAACAGACAGGGGCATCATGCAGGCCAGAGGCTGATGATGGAATAAATATCAAAAAGCGGGAATCGTCTTGACGAAATAAATTGTGCCGTATATATCGAATTCTCCCGTTTTGGCATAAACGCTGCTCTTTCCGTAAAAAATTGAAGGGACGAAGGCGGGAAAAGAAGACACGAAAATCATGGCGGAGCAAGGCCGTGAAGCTGAAAGAGAACTTGAAAGAATAAAACGAGCCTGGTCGAGAAAACGAATCCGCAGTTTTGTGTAGGCACAAGCGGTAGAGGCTTACAGCACGCGCTAGAGTGGGGCACCGTGCTCTGCTCTGCACGCTTACTGTACTTTAGCTGTCTCTAGGACCAAGTGCCTCGACCAAACACGCGGGTAGCAAAACTAGCCGAACTACTGTATCGCAAGGATGCGAGTCTCCGCACACGGGTGTTGACGTTTTTGAAAGCTAGCTTTACTGCTCTACAAGATTGCTCAGCAGTTAGGAGTGGGCGAAAGCCAAACGGCACGTGTAAGGAACGACCTCCACGAGATAATCCCAAAACCATCCTTTTCGGCAGTGGTGCCCTCCTACTTGTGGTTTACACAGCAGCAGCAGCACTTTCAAGTAGCGTCGTGCGTGTAGTGCCCCATTCCACCGATACCGTTCCCGCTCTACTGCTTCCCCTGCACCTGAACGTTAGCCTCCCCCAGCCCGTACGTAAGCTTGTTCATCAGCTCCAGCTCTTCGCCAGCTTGCCGCTTAGACCGGCCCTCCCCGTCCGCCCTGACATCATCGCGGCTGCCCTGATACTCCTGGTGTTCTTGGAGGACTCCGCGGGCGAGCGCGTGCACCTGGCGGCCCTGCTCAACCAGCACCGCCTGGTCTTCCTTGAGCAATGCCTGCGCCTTGTTTAGATCCCACGACACGAGCCCGACCACGCTGCCCACCGATCGCGACTGATGGGGGTGAATCGGTGGCGTGCGTGCGTGCGTGCGTGCGTGCGTGCGTCGCCAAAAGGCACGGGGATGGAGTCGAGAGACACCAAAAACGCCGTTACAAGTCCTGGGGTTGTTTGTTGATCGCGTTCCGTGTTAAAGTCGTTGAGGGGTTCGACCGCAAGTCTCACACCGGCGCACACAGGTTGCGTTGTTCTGTTTGTGAGTCGGCATACTTCGACGTACACTATCAGACAAGATGGCAAGATTCAGCAAAAACGCTTATTATCTGGCCGTCCCAAACTCTCTGACAACGAACGGCGGTTCGTCCATTCTGGATGTGCAACGATCAGCGTCGAGACGGTCATTCAAGACATCAACTGAACCGGTGTGTAGACGCACAACTAATAATAATCCAAAAGCGCGAGACTCAAGCCACACGGCACACCCAGCTTCACTGAGGCGAGCTCTAGGTGTCAGCCGGTCTGCGACACGAACACGCAAACGACAACGAAATGCACGACACGAACGCTGCCCGCCGCCACGAGCCGATGCCGAGGAGGAGGAGGCCGACGGCGGGATGCCGACTTGCACCAACGACTGAATACACAACCACCACCACCAGCAACAGCCAGTTTTGAAGAGGACTGCCCAGGCACAGAAAACAGAAAATAACGGCAAGTTTGTTACCGAAAGAAGACCAGGCAGGGGGTACGCAGACCCTAACCCTAACCTTCACCCCCAACTCAGCCGATTCTATACTTTATCCAACATGTTTGCTTTCTTAACTAGGAAAAACTGCGTAGAAGACGACCAGTGGGGGTACGGGAGTTACAATAGTTGCCTTTGCAGCGTCGCTAGTGTTCAGCCTCACGCGGCGTGGAAAGGGAACGGAAACTTACCACACGAAATGGGGTCGCCCGCGTGTTGGTTGCCGCTGTCAAGAGGTGTCGAGATGCGGTGCTACAACAACGCAAGCCTTTTTGCTGCCACTAAACGCTCCCTGTATCAAGAACACCTGCCCACAGCGCCCGTCAGGTGTAGCTAGGAGTTTTCAGGTAGCACTGACTTAGTAGATAGCTGAGTCCACGGGCGCCCGCTCCAACACCCCTCCACCCTCCACCCACCTTGGCGAGGCTCTCCTGCAAAACGCCCATGTCATACTGAAGCTCCTGGAATTCCGCCACCAACCCGGCACCCACGACAGCCACGTTCTCTCCACCTCCCAACGAGGTCCACATCTCCAGGCCCGCGGCCGCTTCCCCCGCTACGGATACTAACTGCCGGTTTCAAGGGTGTAATAATGGAGGTTTTCTGTCAAAGGCAGCCGTAAATCTGTTCCGAAAAGGGTGCCTAGAATAGCATGTATCGCGATTCCATTGGTTTATGTGTCTGCTGGGCCCGATCTGTGAGGCTACTCGTCCTCCGTCTTGCGTGCTTTTCCCAAAAGACAAGAAAGCGCAGCATGCACTATCGCACTCACCTGGACCTCGTACTACTAACACATGACACACTCTCAGATCTGCATGTAGTGTTGATACTTAGGAAGCACGATCATTTTACCCAGGGGCGTGATTCCCCGCCACGTAGATGTAATCCTAATCCTTACTCGAGGAACAAAACCATGAAACGTTCCAGGTCGGAAACAGCGGTCTGGAGAGAGCTTCAGGCAAGAGCGAGCGCTTGTCGTTCAGCACCACTGCTGCTGTGCTTCAAAAACCTCCCAACCACAGAAGGGTCTTGGGTAAGTTGGACTGCTGCTGCTGCTGTAGCCCAGGCATCACCGAAGAATAAAGAATGTGCTCCAACCAAACTAGCTATTGCTCTGTCGTAGGGAGGGGTAACGATCACCAGAGTTCATGCCCAAAGTTGCACATGCGCCTCACGAAAGTTGCACGTGTCCCTTGATGATGTCTTTCCTATGCATGAATACACATCACCTTCCACCCTCATCATGTCAAACGTATCTAAGCGCACCCAAAAACAACACAGGCCCTGCCAAAAGCAGAGATAGGCAACGTTGCGTGCGGAGAAAAGGGTCGGGGAGAGAGGTCCATCTAAGCGACTCTGCTGATGTCAAAATGCTGATGCTGCCGCTGCCTACCCGTTGCCACGGGCCTTCACCAATGTACACATGCATGTACAGCAGTAGACGTACCAGACGTTGGTGACCACCACTGTAACGGTCGCTGGTTGGAAAGAGCCCGCCCGAGCAATCTAGTCGACTTGCATTTCTACGTGAAATCCGGAGACACAAGGAAATGTATTGTCCTGGGCGGCGAACTTGCTGCACATTTTTCATCTCTGCATTGGCGAGGTAAGGCGCCCATTAAGCCAAGTGTGTCGTGTCCTGATGATGCGCGCACCCACAACATACATAACGTAGCAGCAGCAGCAGGGGTTCGGGTTCTTCGTATGACGTTGGTTAGAGCCAGCGCTTGGCGAGCAAGGCAAGCCGGGTGATCTGACCTCGACCGCGCTGCAAACTGTCCGCTTTCGTGCCTGTTCAAAACGGCAAACCACACGCAATAAGCATGCAGGCACACCTTAGCGGACGAGATGCTTGGCGAATCCCTCCTCTGCCGCAGCTTCTCTTTCATCACAGCAGATTTTGACGATTCTCCAACCCACGCGCCCGGGATATCTCGCACAGTCCACCACGACACCACGCACAGCGCCCAGAAGGCGGCCAGCCCAAGCACCGTCCAGCCGCCCAGCTTCAGCCATTGTGTTCGCTCTCCGTCCTCCTCCGACCGCTGCGGGCCCTCGATATTCCGCGGCTGCATGGCTGTACCGTGTACCATGCTTCTTTCAAAGCACGAATATGATGAGCAACGCCAGACAGGCCCAGCAGGACCCACCAGACTGCGTTTTAGGGGGGGTACGCGAAAGAAACATCGTATATTCCAATGTACCCCTAATTAGTTGTTACATTTACGGACACTGCCGCTGCCGCTGCCAAGCTACCAAGCAAGCTGCCCCGACATTCCATTTGCTGCTCAGCTTTGCAACCCGCGATGTCTCGACCAGCAGTGAGCGTGCGTGTTAGGGGGAGAGATGAGACCACGCTGGAAGTCCAGGTGAGGCATGCCTTCTGTGAGGCAGGCCACGATGTTAGGAAGAGAGATGGATGCTGTGTGCATATTTATACCGACGTAACTTCCATCTGGTGCTGCTTCACACAACATGCAGTTAGTTGGCGAGTGTGCAATGGACAGCTACAGCAGTAGTAGCAACAGCAGCAGCCAGCGGGATGTGTATGTGCAGTTGTGGCAAACATCCAAAGTGCACATGCCTGATGCTTTTCGGCTAAGCCTCACCGAAAGCGGCATATATATACAGGTAGCACAACATCCTTAACCAGCACTCTGTGCTTGTATTAAGAGTAAAAGTCAACTGCAGCCTATTGGTGTGGTGCTTGCTATGATATGCAAGTAAGGGGCATGGGTTTGTGTTCATCTGAATCTGCGAACGCACAATGGGTCTGCAACATGGCTGTTGTTTGTTGCGTCGGCCAACTGGTGTGATGGTGTGATGCTCAGCACTTTTCCTTGTAGATAACCTTACCGGTCCCTTTAACGCCTGATAGTGCGTTGTAGTCTCCAGCGGCGTCAATCCGTACGCATCGTTAGAAACAACGCTATTCCTGCAGCTCACGCAGCTGGAGCAGTGTTATGTCGTGGATTTGAACATCGCAGCGCATCCAAAATACAACTATAATAACGGTGATACATAGAGTATTATGATGCAGTTGCTCAAGGAATCCGGATCGGGCAGGTCGCTCCATCTACAGTATGAACACCCACACGCCGGTTTCTCCCAGCTTTTCCTCGTGAGACAACCTTCAGATTCCGTTTGAGACAGCCTGGTGCGCGTGTTTTAGGTGGTGCAAGCACGCTGTTGTTTCCCCTCGAGATCTTGACCAAAGATCCTTTGGAAAGGGCAGTACCGTAGGTGACACAAGATACCACACCCGTGTGATAACATTTCGAACGTCCAAAAGTTATCACACGGATGTGGTACTCTGTAGGGAGTGTGATATCTTGTGTGACCCGTGTGATAAACTGCTCTCAGAGGATTCCACCCCGCAGGGTGTGTGATAACAGGGGTGTGTGATAAAAAGGGGGTGTGATAATGCCACCCATGGAACGAACTGCGCCTACACCCCACCCACAGGAGGTGTGGTAACAAGGGCGTGTGAGGAAGATGGGGTGTGAAAATGTCACCCGTGGGAAGAAGTCCGCCCACACGACCCAACCTACGGCGTGTGTGTGCGATAACGAGGGGCGTGATAATCATGGCGTTTTATAACGTTACACCGATCATGAAGTGCTCCCACAAGATTTCTGGGTTGCGGGTGGTGTCGTGTGACCGTTAGCAGCACGGGCGGTGCCAGGCACAACAGGTGTTGTTGGGGGAGCGTCAGCCGTAGGTTCTGCTGCGCGGTCCTCGGTAGCACGGGCGGTGGCAGGCACACCGGGTGCTGCGGGAGTCTCAGGCGCGACAGAAAAAAATGACGTAGTTGGGCGTGGCGCTGTCGCTGGAGTCTGCGCCGCGATGCTTTGAGCAGTGTTATGTGCTTCGTTCATCTCCGCGGTTATGTCGGTCGCCATAGCTGGAGTGCAGGGTTGCGGCGTGCGCTATGTGCGTGATGACGGCCTACCACACCGGTGTGATAGGGGGCTCCGTGATATATTTTGCGGCTCAACTTAGGGGGTGTGGTATCTTCTGTGACAGTGTGATAAATCGATGCGTTTTTCCAGGACGCAGAATATTATCACACGGGTGTGGTTTTCTGTAAGATTTCGTTTGGGTTGTGGTATCTTCTGTGGGTGTGGTATCTTGTGTCACCTACGGTATTGCCTATAGCCTCGTGTAACGACGTGTATCCCCCCCTCCCCCCCCCCGTACTTTCGAGGACGCGTGGTCAATGGTCTAACCGCTAAGGCATGCAAAACATGAGAGTACGCCTCCCCCCCCCAAACAAAACGACGAGAGTTGCACCATCCTCCTGATGAATGCTTAATCGGCAAGGTTCTTGAACCCTTCGCCCTCGTCAAAGCCATCAATCATCCCCCAGCGTCCAGGCTAATGGGCCTCCTCTGCTGCCGCTGCAGTACTGCTGATACAAGCTGACGTGATTGACATGAACCGCATCTGTTCCCCTCCCCTTGTCATCGGTTTTCATCGCGAACACCGTGGAACGAACGCCTGCCATCCAATGTCTCGGAAACCAGTTCGACGATGCGGAGACCGTGGCGGACTTCAAGACTCGGGTGTTCGGCGATGTCATCGGAGAAGGCAAAAGGGTACGAGAAAACACCGGGAGCTTGTTGAACACGCCGCAATTTTTGAGCGAATGGAAGTGAGCCCCGGTTCTTAGAGAAGAGGAGGGAGGAGCGAGGAGCCCTGCGGGGGGGCCCGCCGCCCAAACTGCCATACCACATACACATTCACGTAACCCCCAGAACAGATCAGTATCGAGTGCCAAATACCCCCAACTGGCGGCTCTCCCATCGTCGTAACGGACGGCAGGCTAAAAGTAGGGCCTGCTCGTCCACGCTTTCGTCTGCCGTAGGTAGGTTGCATAAGATACCACACCCCCTGGACCGAATTGAAACCTGTGTTGTTCCACGACGACGAGAGGATCCCGACATCATACGATATGATCATTTTCGGAAAGCTCTCGATGAGACAGGCAGTTCCAACGCCGCCGGTTCCGGCGCCGTCACTGCTGTTTTCCCCTGCCGAGTAGTCGAGCTTGGAAATTCGGTCCAAAAAGGGGTTGTGATATCGTGATGCAACCTGCGGTAGTTTTTGTAGTTCTCGAACAGCGTCCTGGCGAGTGTACACGGCAGTCCTCTAACCCGCTTTGTCTTTCGAGTCCCGACAAATCCTGGTTGTTTCTATTGGGAAAAATAAATGCAAAAATAAATATAACCCTTATTTATTCAACCCCGTTTTGTTTCCCTCTCTTTCGCTGGTTGCCAACTCCCAGTGCCGGCTGATCGCAAGCGGCAAGGAGCTGCAAGACTCACACAAGATGGGCTCGTACCGCATACAAGAGGGCTCGTGCATGCACGTCATGATTAGCCAGAGGGGGTCGGTGGCAGGCGCCGAACGAGGGACTCCGTGTGCTGCTGCAGGTATTGCATGCGACGAAACATTCTACACTTGAGATTGATATGAGACAGGTGGCTGGTGGTCTTGAGCCCATCGATTCACTGGCCGACAGGTAGTTAAGCATGTATCCCTATCCTTCGGTGTACTTTTTCCGTTGGGTAGAATAAACCTTGACCTCTCATGTGTGCTCCGCTTACTCGCACACTTTCTGGGGTGTGAACCGGCTGCCCGGCTCGAGCTAGGGATCACGCAGCCGGTGTTCGATCAAGTTGGTAGAAATTTTTGGGGGTTCATGGCTGGTCTCGCTTACGCGAGGGCCCTTCACAGAGCGTTGGTTTTGACTCACCTACGGCTTCGGTAGGCATGGATCGTCGCTAAGTGCGCTGCGTTTCACACTTTTTTTTGTTTCATAGTACCACCATCAGCAGCAGCATCGACATCGTCATCTCGGGGCGTTGGTCGAGGGGCTGGGTCTGCGATACTGTGCGCGCTTACCCTGGTGAGTGTATTGCGGTACGTATCAGTGCTCCGGCTTTTAGCATTGCGGGTGACAGGGGGACTTTGACCGCCAGTCCGTGGTGCAGTTCAGGTGACCTGTCTCTAGGCGTGTGTCGTCCGTGAGATTCTTCCTTTTGGTCTTGGTGTTGAAGGGTGCAGCGCTTGCCCCTCCTCCTCCTCCTCCTCCTCCTCCTCCTCTTCCCCCGGACACCCAAAAATGTGTCTCACAAGCGTGGACTACCGCTGTCCTGTACCGCGTTTGGCCCTGTCTTCTCTTTACGTTTTATGGTTCCTATTATTGATACCTACAAGTTTATGACACCCTTTGTCCCTTGGCCGTGCTTGTATCCAGCGCACCGCTTTGTTTTTTTCCGTCTGCAATTGCCCGAACGCAAGCGCCTAAACAAGTCGTGCTGTTTGTGAATCCGAACCGGCGTGTGCGCTTCAGGGGATGGTGATGGCCGCGTGGACGGTCTACATGGTGTTTCCGGAGCTGTTCTCGTGCGCGGCGACATGTCTCCTCCTGCTGCTCACGCTGCTGCAGCTGGCGGCGACGCTCCCCATCCTCAAGCAGGCCTTGTCGGCGGCCCTCGGCGCTTGTTGGTGGAGACCATGGGTCCGCCGGCCATCCAGCGTTCCCGGCAGACGAAGGCAGTGACAAGCGATTACCGTGGAGGAAACGCTGCCAATAATAGTGGGCGGAACTACTATTTGGCCGGGTGTAAAAGTCTACAGCAGCTGTAGATCAGCTCGGTGTTTGCTGGGCGATACGAGGCGCTGACACGGCGCGAGCTGTACAGAGGCGGCAGGGCTAAGTCCAGCAGGCTCGTCGTCTCCGGCTTGTGTTTCGGGGCGTGGGCCATGTAATGTGTATTGTGTAGCTATGTGGAGCGACACCCAGGAAGAAAGAATCGGGGTGAATTTTTCCGTCCATGACGTCATCAAAAGAAGCAGACGTTAGAACGGGGCGGCTCGGGATAGCTGCCGCTGATGTATTACAGTTCCCGGCGGCTTTGAAGCAGAAAAAAACCGCTGTTCTTCTAGAGCTTTCCCAACCGTGTAGCAAGCGACCTGCTAGGGGAAGAGGTGGTGGACTTCGGTACGCGATGTTCGTTCCGTAGTATTTTAGTGCGGCGTGTCGAAAAACGATGTCTACCGTGGGCGTTGGACGTACGTGTGCAGCCTACGTGTTGGGGGGCGAGCATAGCGCTTGTGAGGTGATGGTGTGGTCGATGGTTGTTGATAGTGGATAGTTGTTGTTAAAATGCACGAGTGTGGAGAACGCCGGTTGAGAGGCGCGTGCTTTCGCATTCTTCCGAGGCATTTATTTGTTTTTAGTGGAGCCTTGCGCGTTGTTTGGCGACAGAGCGGGGGTCGACCGCTCGGGGTATCAAAAATTGGGAGAAGACATTGCAACCGCCGTGCTTCAGGTATGAAACGTACTGCCCTGATGCAGGCGAGCGACAAGCGACGGTTTCGCTGTTGCTGATGGGGGGGGTTCCACTCGGGCGAGTGAAAAAATCGGTGCAAGCGACCCGTTCATGTAGGAAAGAGAGAAGGCTTACCAGCGGCACATGGGAGAGACCGAGCGGGGTGTCCGGGGAGCAGAGCGGCTGGCGTTGGGAGCTAAATTGTTGCCCAGGGCGCCTCTTGAACTCGCGTCATGATGTGGGCACCGCAGCTGCATCAATTTAGATTTGAAGGGCGGCGCTGCTTCAGTCTATATATCGTCGGTATTGTACAGTTTTTTTGTACAGAGTAGAACACGTTGCATTACATACTACAAGCGGACTGACGGCGTTTGACACTTTTCTACGATGGTGTTTGGTTCCTGTATCCTGTATGGCCCATGAATTCCAAAGCTCCCTCGCGCGGAGGGGAGGAAGTAGAACAGCGTCTGGTCGTATCCCACACCCGTTAACGGTCTTCGTTGGTCCATGCAGGGATCGAACGACACAACACTGCTAGGGGACATATTAAACGTCTCCAGACAAATTGATTGGTCTTGCATCGAATCGTGCTTATTCGATTCCCATGAAACAACACGTGCACCTCACTTGGCGCACGAGGGCGGCACGCTGTCTGCGATCACCGTGTTCAGTTTTTTTTTTTTTCTCGTTTTCACCAACTTTACGTTTTCTTCTTCTCGGATGCAGCTAACTTTCGTGCTTTGAAGACTTTACAACACCGAATCTCTTGCTTCATCTTTCAGCTCTCACGTACACAACGCAGTCATTCGAAACACCTTCAACGACCGCTCCCAACGGGAAAAAGCGCCCACAACCGAGAACCCAGCAGAAACAAAATATCGTTCCGTGATAAGAGACACCGTACCGCTGCGTCAGTACCATCACCCATCACCCATTTTCTACCCTAATACGATACCATTGCCTGTAACCAATAAGCTAACGAAACAGCACGATGGACTATGTACATCCCAGATAATTTGCGTGGGACACCGAAGCAAAGATTAAGATTTATTGTAATTTCACGGAGAGGAGAACGCACAGAAACACGGGGCGCAATTCTAGATTACGGTTATGCCTCTGGACCTAGGACTATCTACTGGCAACAGGAAGGAGTACCGCACACAACCGGGCCACGAAAAAAAGGCTACTGAATAATAATCTAGGTGACAGCTGTTGCAGAAATCCAAACAGTTTTTGCGCCAACATCTCGCTTTGGCGCTCGCCGATGCCGCACATTTTGTCACAACTCCTGAAACCTCGCTTAAGGCGCAACGCCGCGTCAAGAAATAGGCAGGCATCGCGCCGTGACGTGGCCGAAGGACGAAGGAAGAAAAAGCGAACTTTGCTTGCACCGTGTCGGGCAATCACGATCACCACCAACTTAAATGTCTCACTTCGTCTGAGACAAACATCGCTGCGCGAGAACAATCTCTAAATGCGTGTGGAGAGGACAGGACCCAAGCGGCCCGGCATTCCTGCTACACTCCACCCCCACGAGCAAATGGTGCCAAAAACACGAAAAAAAATCAGGGGGGAGGGGGGGTGGGAAGCGAAGAGCAAAACTTCCTTGGAGATCACTCTCGGCGCTCGGTACCCGACCCTTGAGTTGCGAAAACGACATCAGGTTGGGTGCTAAAACTCGGAGAACCCCTTGTAGACCCTTTCTTGTATTATTTTAATAGCAAAAGTTTTGTTTAGTAACTCCCTGGGGCTACAGGGGTTGACGAACGCTGTAGCGTGCACGTTGCCGAAGTTTCCCGAAAAGCCAACCTACTAAGATTCCCTGAATACAAATTCTCATCATATGATGCACAAGAAGCAGCATACATAACATTTACATTTGCGACTATTATATAATAGATGGCCAGGTCTTTGTGCTGCTACTTTGCCTTTGGCTTTGGCTTTGGCTCCTCTGGGGGCGCCTTGGAGCTGCTCAAGTCGGCCGCTTGCAGGACAAGGTCAACCGCGTGTGACACCTGGGGGGGGGGGGGGGGGCGGGCAGCAATGAGAACGGGAGGGAGAGGGAGAGAACAGGGGGCGTTCTCATGCTTTTCATGCCGTAGCAGTAGCAGTTAACAACGCGTCCTCTTCAGAGGACGGACCATTGGACCGATCACCGATGGCCAATCGTCCCTTCCTACTTTGTCAAGAGAACAGGGAGGGATGAAAATAGGGACCGCATTCATGAGTATGTGAAACAGAGAGGGGGCCTTTCGTGATCCTACCCCCAACCCCCAACCCCAAAACAATCCAAGCTTCATATCCTCGCCACGGCTGTGCTGGAAAAGAGACAGGTGGTTGCGTCCAAACACAACGCTTGCCCGTCCAGCCACTCGAGCGGCACCGCAACGCCCGACAGAACCACGCGCGAAAAAACTCCGTCCCACGCACCTTCTTCATGTGCTGAGGGCAGTTAATACACCTGCAATCGTCCCCACAGCTGCACGGTCTTCCCCAGGCCATGGCACACCCGGGGTCCACGAGGCCTGCACGACACACGTACGGGAGGGCAAAAGTCTCATCTTGTCGCCTACGCGCGCGACAGGTCGTAACCCGGAGCGTCGTTTTGAGTAGTCTACGCAGGTTTTACTGAGTAAGCAAACATACTGGATTAAGTATAGCATCGGCTATACAAGTTGGGGTTAGGGTAGGGTTACGGTCTGCTTGCCCCCTCCCTGGTCGTTTTTTTGCAACAACCTTATTTTCTGTGCGTTGTAGGCAGTCCGTCGTTTCGCACACTCGTGTGGCAAAACTGCCCCAAGGTTTTCAGAAAAAAAAAAACATGCTATCACAGAAAGACTACCAGTTCACGATAGAATCGAAGGGGAGATATACCCTCAAGTCTTTGCAGTGAGTGGGAGAAAATTCTTAATAAGCGGGAAAGATGGTGTAATAGTTGCACATGGTGCTCGTGTTGCTCGCCGGTCCTCTGGCCCTGAAAACCAGCCCGGTCGGTCTCGTACCTCGGTCCCTGTAATCTACCGCCATTGGAGATGGCGCAGCTACATAGCTCTCGTGACTCGTACCCAAACGGGAGGCAATCCAATGTTCCTATGCGACAAATACTGCCACCGCTCTCACGTGTCCAAGCACCCAAGGCCCGGTGGCGCACCTATTTAGTCTATCGCCAGCCACTCTCACCTAGGGCATTGGCGATGGCCCAAACGGCGTTCACCCCGTCCTGCTCGAGGGTCGGCTCCTGGGTGGTCGTGGTCGCCACGCAGCTCGAGCCGAAACCGATCGCGTCAAGGGCCGACGTCAGGTCTCCGAGCGTCACGTTCGCCTTAGCGTCGACCTGACCCAACCGACACGAGCAGGCGCGGTTTTGGGATGAATCGGTGCGTCCGAGCTGTTACCACAATTCTCCCACCGAGTTGTGTACAATTATTTAATGTTGGACAACCCGGAGTCCGTTCCCTAGCCGTCCGAAAACCCGAAAATTCCAAGAAAATTTCGACGGCTAAGCAAGCACCAATACATGAGGCCATCCGAAGTACATGGCCGAGCCCTTCAGGTTATGCTACTCGCCGTAAAAGCGACCAGCCTATCGTCCTTACTTGAGTGGGGGGGAATCAGCGGTCAGCAGTGAGACAAAGAAAGCGAGAGAGAGGATACGCTGTTGCACAAACTGAGAGCTTGATTGCTCGCTAAACTCATCATACCTGTCCAATTTTTGGTGCGGCGGTCCAGGAGCTTGATTGTTTGTCACTCCTAACCCTTATCAAAAAAGTTGGCACCGCTCCCCAGGACACGTCACGAGACAACAGAACACCGCCAAGGCTCTCACCTTGATCGAGGCCGTCCTCGTCGGGAAATGAATCGTCACGCTCAGGACGCCCGGGACCTTCTTGAGCGCCTGCTGGACCGTCTGCCCGCAGTTCTCCATGCACATCATGCCAGAGACGGACAGACTGATGAACGACGACGTCTGCTCTGCGGGGGGGGAGGTCGAGCACGCCCTCGTCCTCTCCGGCGCCTTATGCCCGGCCGCCGCCGCCGCCGCCGCTTTCCCACCGCCGCCGCTGGAGTCGGTGGACTTTCGCCCTCCACAACACGAAGACCCCAGACGCGGGGCGGCGGCGGCGGCTGCGGGTAGCGGGCGTATAGGCTCCACCGGCCGAGAAGAAAGAGCGGCGTCTTGCGACGTAGGCAGCCCACCGTTACTCATTGAAAATGCGGTCGCCGCAGAGGTGGAGGCTGCTGCTTGTGGGTCCGACGTCCTGGCGGCGGACGGGTGAGCTAGTGTCGTCGTCGGAGCTAGCCCCCCTCTTTCCCACACCGGCGCGTTGGGTGCATTCAACGGAACCCGGTCACTATCACCACCGCCGTAGGTCGCGCTTTGTCTGCCGTTCATGCCGGCGGCGTCTCTCGAGCCGCCTTCGACGACCTTGCCACCGCCGCCGCCGCCGCAAGCCTCGCGGGAACCCGTCGCCGACGCCGGGAACGGCATCGAGAACGGCGGCGGCGGCGGCTGCAGGAGCAGCGAGGGAGGCAAGGGTGACACGGACGGCGACCTCTCGATCGCTCCCTTCGAGAAATGACCGCCACGGAAGGGGGGCGCCCGGTTGTCAACGCCGTCCAGCCCTTGCGGCGCGGGGGCCGGCCCCACCATCCTCTCCGAGGGCATCCACGAACCATTCACCATGTCAACCCTTTCACTCCCGTTTGCTACCGTTACCCCCGGCAGCAGATCGCGAACCAGGCCCTGCCCACCCACCGAGGCATAGGCGTGGTGAGGAAGCTCCGGACCCATCGACGCCGCCTGTGCCGCCCTGGAGTCGTCCCTCCCATCGAACCTCGGCAACCCTGGCCCGATGGAACCCATTCCCGCAAGCTGGGGCATGCCTCGAGGATGATGAGGGTGGCTACCATCCGGCGAGAAAACCTCCCGACCCCGGGGGATACCGTCTTGAAACCGCCCGACAGCACCGCGCAGCTGCTGTTGCCCTTGCAAGAGCGGCCCCGCTGCTGCTGCCGCCACTGCCGAAGGCACAGCTCCTGGTTCGCGGAGCGCAGAGAGCCCACCGGGAGGAGGGACATCGCCTCCCAAACCAAAGCTGGGAGACGGTTCCCTCGCTGCCATCAACGACATCGACGGCAACGGCCCACCAGCGGCGAAGCCGCCGCCGCTCTCCGCTCCTGCACGCCGATGAGGCCGCAGGGGCGGCGACTGATGCCGCTCCCGAGGACTGGGCGGCCGGTCGGGTGTAGCCTTAGCCACGCGCTGCGACGGCGGCGGCGCCCTCTGTTTGGTCGGGCAAGACGAGTAGACCTGGCTTTTGGGGCGCGCTGACGACGCCGCCGCGCGTTGGTGCCGTGCCGCCGGTGGTACCTGTGGCACTCCGACGGCTTCCGTCAATGCCGCGGTCGTTGCCGATATGGCGGCCTTTGTTTTGGCCGCCTTCGCCGCCAAGGACGCAGACGCCGCCGGCCGCGGGGGGGCGCGCGCGCCCGACGAGCCGTCGGAAGCGTGCTTCGTGCAGCGGTTGTTCTTGCGGACGAGCTTCTTGCACCCGGGGACCATGCACCGCTTGCCGCCGCCGTGCTTGATGCAGAGAACGTCTGCACCGCTCTGTGCGCTGTGAGGAACACGTGGGGATACAGTTGCGAGGGGTCACGTTTCAACAAGGGTGCCTTGCGAGTCAAGGGGGGCACTGGGCGATGATGACCTACGTGCGGTACGACGCACTTTCGCCAAACGCGCGCCAAATTCCAGAACACTCTTCCTAGAACGTTGGACCGCCTACGCAGGATTTATAAGAGTATCTAGAAAAAGAATAGGGAAGGGGCACGCAGACCCTATCCCTAACCCTAATCCCAAAGCACGGATTCAACACGTTATCCCATACGTTTGCTCAATCGATTTTGATGCGTAGACTACTGAGAACGTTCCAGCCTGGTATAAAAGCAAATAATACAGGACGTGGGGGGGCAGTGAATTTTTTGTGATCTGGACGTGCCGCCCCCCCCGCCCCCCCCGACCGTTACTCGTCGCCGCGCCAATCGTGAAAGCAACCCACTTGCCACGGTTGGTGTTTTGTACACACACGGACGTTTCGCAGAAAGACGGAACCCCGCTGGACAAGGCCAACACGAGCCATCGAAAAGCAACGAACAGTCACCAGTTCCGCTCCCGGCTCTTGAGAGCGCACGCCCGTTTGTTAACTCACCTTGTCATGCATCCTTCGATACGGCATCGCCTTCCACCGCCATGGGACTTGCAAAACACACCTCCCGCCTGAGCGCCCTTCGCGCACCCTTGCGCTTGGCAGCGCTTTCCCCCCCCATGGCTCACGCAGAACCCGCCTACAACACAACGCAGGGCAGAGCACGAAAAACGGTGTGCGTTACAGACGAAATTGCCGCACGATTCTTCGCTTTGCCGTGAAACAACGACAACGAGGCAGCACGCAGGTTCGAAACGACGGGCGTCCGTGCTTGATTTCTAAACACGGCAGCGAGAAGTGTTCTTCGTCGATCAGCTACATAAGCCAGGAAAGTTCAGGGTAGAGTCACCACCACCCTGACCTGACCTGGTGGTTTCGTTTCTTTGCTAGTCCGCGCGACAGGTCAGGACCGCGTTACAGGGCACGACCTGACCTGTCAAAGGTCACCACCCAGGGAAATCCTCAAGCAATCCCTCCGCTACAGGCACGTTCAGCATCAGATACCCGGACTTTCGCACCATCTCGGTCACTATTGTGGGGGAAACGCCAAACCTTAGCCTTGCTCACACGCGCGACACACGACGTGGGTGCTAGCAACCGTTGCGACCATCCCGGAGCACTCACCGCCCACGTCCGTTTTCATACAGCCATCGGCTCCACAGCGCCTCCCCCCTCCGTGCTTGCGGCAGTTACCCCCTCCTACGTCCACCTAAACAGGGTCCGCAAGAACGACGGCTTCAGGCAGACTGAAAAAGGTAAGAGTACACGGGACTATCCAAAGGAGCGCATCACATGGAACGGCTCGCACGATGTTGACCTACAGCCAAAAGCTGGGGAGTGTAACACGCAAACACCCCATTGAGAGAGCAGAGTAAACCACGGCGGAAGATAGAATAGAAGCGCCGCAGGGGTAGAGACGGTAGCTGGAGAAACCTTCCGCGTGCCGCGCCCACATGTATCGGCTTCGCCACCTCGACAAACGGCACAAGGCTGGGCTGACAATTGGTGTAGGTACAAGGCTTCGTTTTCCTGGAGTCTCGGGCGGAACGGCATGATGTCATGCCGCCGTATGGTCCACCCTCAAAAGCCGCATGCTGTGCGACGGCGGTGTCTGAATTATGATACGTACACTTGTCGTGTCAACGCGCCAACATCTCGTGCCACACATGTTTTGGAAAGTACCATACCTTCATACAGCCCGGCGTCTTGCAGCGGCGCCCCTCTCCGTGCCGTCGGCAAAACCTTCGCCCGCCGCTGGTGGCCTGGCTGCAACCTCCGTACTCGCAGCCCCCTGCGCAAGAACAAAGGCACCCGCACGTTGTCAAAAAGCTTGTCATTAGCTGGACCGCCTTCGCGACAAAAATACTTGATGAGGAAGTAGAACAGGAAGGGGGGTACGCAGATCGTACCCCTAACCCTAACCCTACTCCCCCGATTGCATGCTATATCCAACATGTTTTACTTAATAGAAAAACCCTGCAAAGGCTACTGTCAAAGCTAGGGGGGGGGGGGGGGGGGGGGGGGGGGGGCCCCCCCCCAATTTTTTTTCCTTCTTTAATAAACAAAAAACCCCCCCTAAAAAAAAAAAAAAAGGGAAGTTTTCCCCCTTTTAAAAAAGGGGCCCCCCCCTTTTTTAGTGGAAAAAACCCCCCCTCGGGGGGGAATACCCCCCGGGGGGGGGCCCTTTTTTTGTGAAACCCCTAAAACTTTTTCCCCCTTCCCCCCAAAACAACGGGGGGAAAATTTTAAATAATTTTCGGGAGGGGGGGGGGGGGGTTTTCCCCCAAACCTTTTTTTTTTTTTCTTTTTTCCCCCCCTCCCCTTTTTTGGGGGGCTTTCCCCCCTTTTTTTGGTCTTTT